CTCCAGGCTCTGAGCCATCAGCCCAGAGCCTGGAGCCTGTTTCCGATTCTGTGTCTCCCTCTCTCTCTGCCCCTCCCCCGTTCATGCTCTGTCTCTCTCTGTCCCAAAAATAAATACATGTTGAAAAAAAAATTAAAAAAAAAAAAAAAAAGAAAAAAAAAGAAAAAAAAAATCACCTCCTATCCATGAAACAGTCACGCCTGATTCCCCTCTCCCCTCAGCTCCCCAGTAACCACTCATCTGCCTTTATGGATTTGCTTATTCTGGACATTTCATATGAATGGAATTATATAATCTGTGACCTTTTGTGTCTGGCTTCTTTCACTTAGCATGTTTTCAAGATTTCATCCATGTGTAGCATTTGTTTTTATGAACATCCTTTGTTTTTATGGTCAAATAATATTGCATTGTATGAATATACCATATTTTGTTTATCCATGTATCAGTTGACGGGCATTTGGGTTGTTCCCACTGTTGGAGTATTATGAGTAATTCTGTTATGAATATTCATGTACCGGATTTTGTTGGAGCATATGTTTTTAGTTCTCTTGGATCTAGATCTAGGAGTAGATTGCTGCGTCATATGATAATTCTATGTTTTGAGGAACCATCCAACTATTTTCCAAAGAAATGCACCATCTTACATTCCTATCAGCAATGTTCCAGTTTCTCCACATTCTCACTAACACTTGTATTGTCTTTTTTCATTACAGCAATCCTAGTAGGAGTGAAGTGGTATCTAACTGTGGTTTTGATGTGCATTTCTCTAATGACAAATGATGTTGAGCATCTTCTCATGTACTTCCTGGCCATTTGTAGATCTTTGTTGGAGAAGGTCTATTCAATACCTTTCGCCATTTTTAATTAGGCTGTTTTAATTTTTAGGTTGTAAGAATTCCTTATATATCATGGATACTAGACCTTTATCCAATTGTAGTCTGTAAATATTTTCTCCCACTCTGTGTATTGTCTGTTCACTCTCTTGATATACATATTGACACATAAAAGTTTTTCACTTTGGTATAGTTCAATTGATCTATTTTTTATTTTGTTGCTTGTGCTTTTGATGTCATAGCTAAGAAACTATTGCATTATACAAAGTCACAAAGATTTACACCTATGTTTTAAGAGTTTTCTAACTTAAGCTCTTACAGTTAGGCCTTGTATCCACTGAGTTAATTTTTGTACATGGTATAAGGCAGGAATCTAATTCATTCTCTTGCATGTGGATTTTCAGTTTTTTGAGCACCATTTGTGGAAATCATCTTTTCCCCATTGTGTGATCTTGGGACTTCTGTTGAAAATCCATAGGCCATAGTTGATGAGTTTACTTCTGGAATCTCGATTCTATTCCACTGATCTACATGTTTATCCTTATGCTAATAGCACACTATCTGGATTATTGTAGATTTGTAGTAGGCTTGAAATAGGGAAACATGAGTTCTCCATCTTTGATCTTTTTAAAGACTGTTTTGGCTATTTAACGTCCCTTGCAATTCCATATGAATTTTAAAATCTTCTTGTCCATTTTTTTTTTTTTTAAGTTTACTTATTTTGAGACAGAGAGGGAATCGCAAGCAGGCTTTGCACGGTCAGCATGGAGCCTGATGTGGGGCTTAAACTCATGAACGTGTTGAGATCATAACCCAAGCTGATATCAAGAGTCAGACGCTCAACTGGCCTGGCCACCCGTGCACCCCTGCTTGTCCATTTCTTAAAAAAAAAAAAAAAAAAAAAAGGCATCTGGGATTTTGCTTGGGATTGTGTTGAACCTTTAGATCAATTTGGGGAGTAGTGCCATCTTATTATTGTCTTCCAATCCATGAAAATGGGATGTCTTTCTATTTATTTAGGTCTTCCTTAATTTCTTTCAACAATATTTTGTGGTTTTCAGTGTATAAGTCCTGTACTTCTCTGTAAAAAGATAATCCCTAAGAATTCTTTTTGATACTACTGTAAATGAAACTGTTTTCTAAATTTCATTTTCAAATTTTTCACTGTTAGTGTACAGAAATACAAATGATTTTTGTACATTAATCTTATATCCTGAAACCTTGCTGAATTTGGTTATTAGCTATTAGGTGTGTGTGTGTGTGTCTCTTTAGAATTTCCCATATATAAATCAGGTCACTTTTTTTTTTAAAGTAGGCTTCACACCCAGCATGGAGCTCAATGCGGGGCTCGAACTCACAACACTGAGATCAAGACCTGAGCTGAGATCAACAGTCAGATGCTTAACCGACTGAGCCACCCAGGCGCCCCATGTCATCTTTAAATAGAGGCAGTTTTATTTTTTCCTTTCTAATCTAGATGCCTTTTTCTTTCATAATTGCCCTGCCTGGAATCTCCAGTACAATGCTGAATAAGGATGGCAAGAACAAACGTGCCTGTTTTATTCACAATCTTAAGAGGAAAGCTTTTAGTCCTTCATCGTTAAGTAGGATGTTAGCTGTGGATAGGGTTTTTGTATGCGTGTGTGGTAAAACATACATAACATAGGATTTACCATTTTAACTATTTTTTAAAAATTTTTATTTATTTTGAGAAAGAGAGAGAGAGAAAGAATCTCAAGCAGACTCTATGCTGTCTGAGCCCATCGTAGGGCTTGAGCTCATGAACTCTGAAATCATGACCTGAGCCAAAAAAAAAAAAAAAAAAAAAGTCAGATGCTTAACCAATTGAGCCACCCAGGCACCACACCATTTTAACCATTTTTAAGTGTGTAAGTTCAGTGGCATGAAGTACATTCATACTGTCATGCAACCATCATCACCATCCATCTCCAGAACATTTTCATCATCCCAACGTGAAACAACTAACAATCTCTGTCATAGTCCCCACCTCACTTCAGGAGGCCATTTTAACAATATAAAAAGCAAAGGCAATCCAGTAACAATAATAACAACAATAAACCTTATAGGCCAATCTTTCTTATGAACATAGATGCAGAAACTGTTTTCTAAATTTTTTTTTTTTTCAAACGTTTATTTATTTTTGGGACAGAGAGAGACAGAGCATGAATGGGGGAGGGGCAGAGAGAGAGAGGGAGACACAGAATCGGAAACAGGCTCCAGGCTCTGAGCCATCAGCCCAGAGCCTGACGCGGGGCTTGAACTCACGGACTGCGAGATCGTGACCTGGCTGAAGTCGGACGCTTAACCGACTGCGCCACCCAGGCGCCCCAGAAACTGTCTTCTAAAATATTATTAGCAATAATGTATTAAAATCATGATCAATTTGGGTTTATTCTGAAAAGTCAGGCATGGACTAAAATAGAAAAGCTATTAGAATAAATCACTGCAGATTATGAAAAGCCATATAGTAAATCTCATTAAGTACATAAAAACATTGACTAAAGGTTAACATCTATGATAACAGCTTTTAAGCAAGCTGGAAATGGAAAAGAACTTACCTAGTAAAGGTTATCGTGGCAAATACATTTAATAGCAAAGTGTCAGAGCTTCTCATGGGCTGAATTGTGTCCCACAAAAATTAATATGCTAAGTTCAAACCAATATCTCAGAACGTGACCTTATTTGGAAATGGGGTCATTACAGATGTAATTAGTTAATAGGAGGCCATTAGGGTGAGTCCTAATCCCATAGAACTGGTGTCCTCACAAAGAGGAAATGTGGACACAGAGGCAGACAGCCACACAGTGAGAACGTCACATGAACATGAAGGCAGAAGTCAGGGTGATGTGTCTACAGCCTAGTAACACCAAAGGTTGCCAATAAACCACCAGAGGCTACAGGAGAGGCATGGAACAGATTGCCCCTCACAGTCTCAGAAGGAACCAGTCCTGCTGACACCCGGCTCTTGGACTTCCAGCCTCCAGAAATGCGAGATGATAAATTCCTATTATTTAAGCCACCCGATTTGTGGTACCTCGTTACAGCAGCGAATTAATATAGCTTCCTTTCAAAATCAGAACAAGACAAGGATGCCTGCTATCACTGCTTCTAGTCAACAATGTACTGAAGATGTTAGTGTAAGGGAGGAAAAAATTCTCTTCTACCCTCTTAGGGTCACTGGCTGGACCGAAGAATTAAAACTAATATAAAACAGATTAGCGGGAGAAAAGCATACAAATGTTACTACATTTTTACATGTACAAGGGGGCCTTCACAAAAGAATGGAGACCTGAAAAAGTGACCAGGGAGGGAAGCTTTAAGTCTTTTAGACAAAGAAATACTAAATTTGTCACGAATTGACAAGACAAAGGGATTTGGGCTAAGTGTTAGTAAACGGTAAATGTGAGATAACAGAAAGGACATATATTGGTCCCTGTCCCTCATTCCTGACACAGCACTCCTAAAATCCTTTCGTGGATTCCTATGTGGTAAGAGAACTACAAGTATTTTGTTTTGATATTTGGCCTTTGACTCCAGTTCCTAAATCCCTTGGATCCCTTCACAAGTGATAGCAATGTCTTTTGTTCTAATGAGGTGAATCTTGGTGGCCTTCTGGAGGGGGGCTGGCCACCCCAAAAGACCAGGCTATGGTTAGAGGCTTGGACATTTCAGCCCCATCTCTCATTCTCCACAGAGAGGAAAGGGCTTGAAAATGGAGTTAATTATATATATAACTTACTTTTATTTAAAATATTTATATGTATATTTAGGGGTGCCTGGGTGGTTCAGCAGGTTAAGTATCTGACTCTTGATTTCGGCTCAGGTCATGATCTCACAGTTCGTGGGATCAAGCACAGAGCCTACTTGGGATTCTCTCTCCCTCCCTCTGCCCCTCCCCTGCCTGTTCTCTCCCCCTCTCCCTCTCAAAATAAATAAACTTAAAAATATATTTATACTTAACATAATTTATATATTATATATTTTTGTATATTAAAGTATATATTCTCTATATGCCTATAATCATTTATAACAAATTATTATTACTCTTATGTAAATCATCATACTAGATATATTAAATCCTAGGTGTCAGACATATTAACTTAGCGTTTGTAACTACCCAATAGGTAGACGGGAAGAAGCCTTATATACCACGGAGAGAATGTGATCTATCTCGTAGTCCCCTAAGGAGCTACTGGAATAGGAATTTTGTAATTAAAGAAGTTCTAGAGAATTACTCGTGGCCAGTGTGAAAGATAATGGAAACTGGGAAAGCAGGCTTTTGGGGATGGCTGGATGAAGCAAATGGATTAAGAGATCAATGTGTTAACGAAGGCCGTGCCAGGCACAATAAAAAGAGACATAAAGGAGAGATTGAGGTGACTGACACTTGAGAATCCTTGTAATTGGGTTGTGCCCGGACATCCTTTCAAATCTCCCTTCCTAATCAAAGTCGGTTAAGGGTTAAAGTTTCTTCTACTCCAGTTCTTGATTCATGTCCAAGGGTAAATACCACCTTATACTCTTTCAAAGTGCTAGAACATTAACTTACTTGATCCTCTCAAAGAATAAGTACAGACAAGCATTTTAGAATGACTTTAAAGGGTCTCTTTCAAGGTTCGAAGGGCACAGCCAGGACCAAACCCCAAATGTTCTGATGGTTGAACCTCATGGGTAACAATGCAGAGCAACTACAGTCCATTTGGTTGATCGGGCTGTTGAGAGAGCACAACATACACCTTCATGAGGTTTCGGTCCTGGCTTGTTACAGATAAAGCTTCATTTCTAGCTTTCATTTCATCTCTATCCAGAATCATTCCAAGAGAAGACATTTAGAGGCCTTCAAATCAGGAAGATCATCACCAGTATCTTCCTCAATAGTCAGGTGGGACTTCTTTTTTTAATTTGAGAGAGAGGATGAACAGGGGAGAGGCACAGAGGGAGAGAGAGAGAATCCTAAGGAGGCTCCATGCCCAGTGTGGAGTTCGACTCGGGGCTCAATTCCACAACCCTGGGACCATGAGCTGAGTTGAAATCAAGAGTGGACGCTCAACTGACTCACCAGGCACCCTGGTGGGACTTCACAGCATCCAAACAAACCTGCGGAGTTTGCTCTCACCAAGTGACCCTTCTCATAGCCTCTAAAGCACAGAGGATTTGTTTATCCCCTTATCTTGATTGAGTTACTCTCCTCACCCCACCACTGGTTCCTGCCTCCAGTGGAATGCCAGGAACCCCCCACTGCCCAGCCAAGGAACAAGCTAAAGCAAGTAAGAACCACCTTTCCTCTACAACAGTGTTATATCACAAACAACTGCCGTCACTTGGTCCTTTCAAAAGAGAATGAGCTTTTATCTGTATGTAACTAACTGTGAATGTATGTGTATCTGAATAGACTGATTCATCTGTGTTGAACTTGGGGAAACCTTCAGGGTGCTTCTGTGGAATTCCTGCATTTGCTTTTGTGGCTCTGAGGTCTCAGGAGGACAGAGAACTCCTTACCATCCTGGACCTTCTCTGCACACATATGAGAACATCTGAATGGTAAAATTCTGAATGTTTGGGTTTTGAGTGAAATGAGGGATCCTGGAGTCTGAGAGGTGGGTTTTACATTTGTTTAATAAGTTTATCTCCTCTTCTTAAAGCCCATTAACTATTTGTTATCGACCTGGCTTTACTGGCCAGTCTACCAGAGGGAGGAACAAAGGGAGGGGATTGTCCACTGCAACCCCCAGAGGACACCGTCAGCATGATGGGCCGCTGTAAGACTGTGACCACCTTTTCACTGGAGACATTCTCCAGAGGCAACAGCTGGGACTTACCTGAGTGTGCACAGGTTACACTCTGGGCGATTCAAAGCCTTATACAAATGTGCCACCCTTTCAGGCTCCAAGGTACTCTGGGCCACCTTTGTATTTGTGAGATTTTTGTTTGTGGTTAAGAACAGAGGCAAACTTGTCACAATCAGAAGTGCAAAACGTCCCTCAAACATTCAGTAAAGACACACAGGTAAGCAATGACCCAAACCGAAGTCTTGAAAGCAATCAGAAAAACCATATGTGAACCCGAAATGGAGTACCCTGTGAAAATCTTAAAAAAGACAAACCTAGGGGCGCCTGGGTGGCGCAGTCGGTTAAGCGTCCAACTTCAGCCAGGTCACGATCTCGCGGTCCATGAGTTCGAGCCCCGCGTCAGGCTCTGGGCTGATGGCTCAGAGCCTGGAGCCTGTTTCCGATTCTGTGTCTCCCTCTCTCTCTCTGCCCCTCCCCCGTTCATGTTCTGTCTCTCTCTGTCCCAAAAATAAACGTTGAAAAAAAAAATTAAAAAAAAAAAAGACAAACCTAGAATAAATAAAGCTTATAGTACACATACACTATTTATTTGCACCTAAGAAATAGTTTAAGGGGTGCCTGGGTGGCTCAGTGGGTTGAGCGTCCGACTTCAGTTCAGGTCACGATCTCATGGCTCGTGAGTTTGAGCCTCGTGTCGGGCTCTGTGCTGACGGCTCAGGGCCTGGAGCCTGCTTCGGATTCTGTGTCTCCCTCTCTCTCCCTCTCTCTCTTGAAAATAAATAAACATTAAAAAAATAGCTTAAGCAGAAATTTTCCCTCTAATCCTATTTGACACACAACTCACAACTCCACCTCTGTTTTGTGAAAACTGTCAGACTCCAACAAAACATGTACAGAGGAGCAAAGGGCCAAGAGCGACTAAGGGACTCTTGAGAATAAGGTTGGACGACTTATCCCACTGGATACCAAGTCCAAAGCCATAGTAATGAAGACGGTATGGTACTGGTGCAAGATTAAACAAAATGACTAACAGAACAGATTGGGGGTCCCAGAAACATTGCAGAACCGATTATTTTAAAATTTTATCTGAGCTGGGGTGGCTCGGTCGGTTAAGCATCTGACTTTAGCTCAGGACACGATTTGTGGTTTGTGAGTTTGAGACCCTGTGGGGCTCTCTACTGACTGCGCAGAGCCCGCTTCAGATCCTCTGTGCCCCCTTCTTCCTGTCCCTCCCCTGCTCTCTCTCAAAAGCAAATACATATTAAAAAAATTATCACTTGGAGCAAAGAGGAGAAAATTTGTCCATTTCATTATCACAGAAACAAGTTAAATAAAACAATGAAAAAATATTAAGAGAAAACATTTGCCTCCCACCACTATTTATACTCCAGGTTCATGAAGGGGTGGGTATCACTAACTGGTAGCTGAAGTCACAGATAATGACTTTCTAGATGTTTCTGCTCAGTTAAGGAGGTGACACCACAGGATACAATGATCCATACCTTATTCCAAACAGAAATCAAGAACTCTGTTTCAGTTTTGTAGTGACATATGAACAGGTTGGCTCTTTCTAAGAAAATGTCAGGTTTTGTTTCCGAAAAAAGTACACACGTAGCTGCCACGCTCTTCCATTTCTTCAAGGAGATCTAGGTTCCCATTTGGTGCTATTTTCCTTGTGCCCGAATGACTTCGGTATCTGTCGTAGGGAGGGTATGCTGCTATGTCTTTAGCATGTCTGAGTAAGTCTTGGGGCACCTGGGTGGCTCAGTTGGTTAAGTGTCTGACTCTTGACTTCAGTGCAGGTCATAATCCCAGGATTGTGAGATCGAGCCTCGTGTCTGGCTGTGCACCGGCAGCATGGAGCCTGCTTAAGACTCTCTCTGTCCCTCTCTTCTGCTCACATGTGCCCTCTAAAATAAAAAAAAAATAATAAAAAAAAAATTTTAAGTCTTCATTTCACCTGTTTTTGAAATAAGGTATAGAATTGGTATAGAAGTCTAACTTGGCCGTTTTCTTTTGTTCTTCTATATGTAGAATCTGCCCCTATCCACACCCCTTGACCCCGACAGCTTTCAGATTTTTTTCACTGGTTTTAAAAATTTTGATTATGATGTGGTTGGTATATATTTTTGTGTATTTCTTGTTCTTGGGTGCTCACTGAGCTTCAATCTATAGGTTTATAATATTCATCCATTTGGGAAAACTGTGGTCGTTATTTCTTCAAATATATCCTCCCCTCTTTCTTATCTCTTTTAGGAATTCAAATTACAAGTATATTAGGCCATTCGAAGTTATCTGATAGCTGATACTGTTCAGCCTGTTAATCATTGATAAGATGCTAGACATTGTGAATTTTATTTTTATTTTAGAGAGAGAGCGTGTGCAAGTGGGGGAGGGGCAGAGTTAGAAAGAATCTCAAGCAGGCTCTCAGCATGGAGCTCAATGGGGGCTTGATCCCATGACCCTTGGATGATGACCTGAGGCAAAAGCAAGAGCTGGATGCTCAACAGACTGAATCACCCAAATGACTCTACACCCAATGTGGGGCTTGAACTCACAACCCTGAGATCAAGAGTCACGTGCTCTTCTGACCGAGCCAGCCGGGCCAGACATGGTGAATTTTACATTAACTGCTGGATATTTTTATGTTCCTACAAAATTTTTAAAGCTTTGAAGCAGTTTTAAGATGTAGTTATTTGGAAACTGATCCTTTTCTGATCTTATTTTTAAGATTTGTTGGGTGGGACTAGAACTGTATTTAGCCTAAGGATAATTATTCCCCACTATATACTAAAATTGGAACGATACAGAGAAGATTAGAGAGAGAGAGAGAGAGAGAGAGACAAAGAATCCCAAGCAGGCTCCATGCTGTCAGCACAGAGCCTGACACAGGGCTTGATCTCATGAACTGTGAGATCATGACCTGAGCCAAAATCAAGGGTTGGATGCTTAACCGACCGAGTCACCCAGGTGCCCCAAAGCAAGACTTTCAGTACTCTTTCAGTACCCTCCCCAATGCCTAATGGGTTTTTCCAGTCTTGGTGGTAGGAACAGGTGCTATTTTGGGCCCGCAGCACTGATGTCAAACCCTCTCAGGTTGTTCTTTTCCTGGCATCAGGTTTCCTCACACACGAGCTGATCAGTACTCTGTGAACACTCAGCATGAACCGTCTGCCGATCTCTACATTGACCTACCCAGGCCTCTCCTCCACGGCTCGCTGTCCCGTAAACTCTGGCTGCCTTGGTCTCCTGAGACTCTCAGCACCGTGTCTTCAACTCAGTGAGTCCACTGAGGCTCCCCCTCCCGCCCCAAACTATTTTACACTGCTTTTCTCATTTCAATACTTTAGTTTGATAGGACAGTAGATGGACCTCTTGACTTTTTAAAATATTTATTTATTTAGAGAGACGGGGCGGGGGGAAGGGGTAGAGAGGGGGGAGAGAAAAGAGAAAGGGAGAGAGAGAATCCCAAGCAGGCTCCATGCTGTCAGTGCAGAGCCTGTTGTGGGGCTTGATCTCATGAACTATGAGATCATGACCTGTGGCAAAATCAAGAGCCTGACGCTTGACCTAATGAGCCACCCAGGTGCCCTGGATCTGTTGACTTCTATATGAGGAAATCATCTTCCAACTTTTGTGCACCTCTTTTATCCTTATTGGTTATATTACTTTGATCTTTACACAGTGGAGTCATTTTGTTTCCTGTATTTTATATATAGATTCTGAAATTTCAAATTGAGTATATAGCATTTGAGATTGTACTTCTGTATGATTCACTGCAGAACCAAGGAATCAGATCCATAGAGAAAGAAATGTAATCCTCTGTCACTAAACTTGTGCCACATGCACAAAAATGACCACTTCAAGGATCAAGGTCAAATCGAATCTTTTTACACTCTAGCAGTTGCTGATAATCATGCTAC